AATGTATGTATAGTTTACTTTTGTTTAATAAAGCGCACATAACTAGCCTGACAGCGGGTTAAAAAAAAAAAAAATAAAATAAAATAAAATAAAATTGAAAATTTTGCATTATGAATATCATTTAAATTTTCAAAATCTTTTTCTAAACATATAAATCTTGAACACATTGATACAAATCATTATAAAATTTTAAGTCAATAGAAATACATGAAGTATTAACAGAAGATTGTTAAAAATTCATTTTTTATTAAGAAAGGTATATTGATAAAAAAAAAAATATAATTTTAAGTGAATCAACTTGGCTAACTTTTAAAAAAAGAACTAAATATTTTAATTTTTTAAAAAATTTAGGCAATTTTTTTATCCCCTACTGTATATAGATGTATCTGATTCGTGTCGAACTAAATCCGACTTTAACGGACAAAATATTACAAACCAATGTATTGTTTGAGACTATAAAAAATTTTTTTTATCATATCATATTATGTAAAAACGTTGAATTAGAATTCATTTGTGAACAGTTCTATCAACCTTTATTTTATTCTCCTTAAATTTAGCCAAGATTAGTGACCGTCAAAAGATTTAATGTCGACAAGGCATGAATTAATAGCTATATAGGCAAAGGATTTGCTCGAATTAAATCAATGCAAATACCTAAATAATTGGATATCTGAATATTCATTGAGTAAAGGAAAAACAAAATATGTTTTAAAGTTACATATTTGACGAAATATAAGACCAAATGTAATGCCTAAAGGACGGCTTTGCCAATTGTGTGTACACGAAAGCCGATAGATCTCAATCTTTCGGCATCAAGGATAAGACGTCCATCAAAAATGAATGCCGGTTTATGCATTTTCTCATAAATCTTTTCGTAATCCAATTCCTATATTATGTGATAGATTACCAATAAGTAAAAAAAAAAAAAAAAAAACTACTTAGTTAAATATCTTACTTTGAATTCATCCCATTCGGTGGTGATAACTATTGCGTCAGCATTTTCGGACGCTTCATAGGCGGATCGAGTGATAATGACGCGTTTATTCACTGTTCCATAAAAAAAATATTAGCAAGAAACATAAACACAACTCGCAATGACAATATCTATAAAAGGATTGATTACTTACATAATGTATTATCAAAAACGCCAGGTTCGCTCAAATCTAAAATGATTTGTTCATCGGTGACTTTCGGGTCATATATACAAACTTGTGCATTCTCTTGAATAAAATCTTTGCATAATGTGATCGCAGCTGATTCACGAGTGTCACCGGTGTCTTTCTTAAAGGCAAATCCCAATACCGCAATTCTCTTGTTTGTAATAGTGTTGAACAAGGTTTTAATTATGCAGGAGACAAACCGTTTCTTTTGATACTCATTAAGATCGACAACTTGTTTCCAATAGGCCGCTACTTCAGGTAAATTAAGTTGCTCTGATAGATAAACTAAATTCAAAATATCTTTCTGAAAGCAACTGCCACCAAATCCAACAGAAGCTTTCAAAAATTTGGGTCCGATACGCGAATCTCGTCCACAAGCATAGGCTACTTCATCTATATCCGCCCCGGTTGCTTCACAAATGGCCGACAAAGCGTTGATCGATGAAATACGTTGAGCTAGTAAAGCATTAGCAGCCTATATACCAAATAAATAAATGTATCAAGATTTTAATCTTCGTTCGTAACGCAGTTCATGAAACCACATACCAGTTTCGAAAGCTCGGATGACCATAGATTAGTGGTGATTATTTTATCTGTGGGAACCCATTGCGCATACACCTCAACCAAGGCCTGTTGGGCTCGCTGACCTTCGGCTGTCTGCAAACCGCCAATTAACACACGATCGGGATGTAGTAGATCCTTAATGGCGGTGCCTTCCGCAAGAAATTCTGGGTTCGACAAAATATCGAATCGGATGTCGCCGCGAGAATTGGCCTCTAAAATTGTGCGCATGCTTTCCGCGGTACGGCACGGTACAGTGGATTTTTCAACAACGATTTTTGAACTTGTTGCAACTTCGGCAATCTGACGGGTCGCAGATTCGACATATCTATAGGTTTAGGCAGATAAAAACAGTATAAAGATTTATCGTGTAACTCTAGGCATAATTACAAGATCAGATCTGTAATCAGACTGACATCACTTATGATTCCGTATTAAATCTTGACACAACCTGAACTTTAAATTTAAACATTTAAAATTCAGAAATTAACGTTAAATAATATAATCTAATTATTCATTAATGTTTTTTTATACTTACGCCAAGTCAGCAGCATAACCTGCACCCATACCCGCCTTCTTTGTCGGTGTGTTCACAGATACAAATATAAGGTCTGCTTCAATAACGGCTTGTTCAACCTCTGTCGTAAAAAATAAATTCTTTCCACGACAAGAAAAAACGATTTCGTCAAGTCCGGGTTCATATATAGGAAGGTTGTCAGAATTCCAGGCGGCAATACGGGCTTCATTTAAGTCCACAATAGTAACTTTAATGTGTGGGCATTTGTAAGCGATGACTGCACAAGTTGGCCCGCCTATGAATCGCACAATTACATGTAAATTGTATTTGTATAAACTAAGAATGAATCTGAATCTTTAATTTAGTTTTATTTATTCATGTTTCATAGGATATCTACCAACATAACCGGCACCAAGGCAACAAATCTTCTTTACTTGGGTGGTCATAGTATATCGCGAGAAAAAAAGTGTTTATTATGTTAGATGGATGTACGAATATATATATAGTTTGATGACCAATTGGATCTTATCGTAGTTGCAGTGCATTTTTACTGGTTCATCAATGTTTGAGATTTATTAATTAATTCTAGTTATTACTCAAAAAGAGACTATTTATTATATAATAATAACTCGTCTATTAAAAGAGGGTCTATTAATAAAATTTAAATTAAAAAAACAATTGTATTTATAAGTAGAACAAATAAAAAAAAAGTTAACTAAATTTATATAATTAGTTCAAATAATGTTTATTGAATTTAAATATAAAAGTATTAAAAATTTAAATATATTATTTAATAAAACAATTAAAAAATCTTTTTATTGATTCTTTATTATCTTTTAAAAACAATGCTTATTAAAATTTTATATTTTTATAGTAATAAAATTATAAAATTCTTTTTTTTTTTAATTTATAATTACTTAAATATTTTTAATATTATAATAATTATTTTATAATAATTAACTTATTTTTTTAAATATAAATTTGTATTATATCAGGAAATTTTTTTGGCAAAGATCTTTGGAAAATTTCAGGCATAAAACTCTAGAGGCACTCCATCATCATTAGAAGTCTCCAGAGAGGAGATTTATATATACAACTTTAGAGAATTTCAAATGTTTTAAATTATAATAAAATAATTTCATATTATTATTAAAATATTTATTTTTAAAAATTTATTTATTAAAAATTACTTTTTTTACATA